TACAGATCAGCAGAGTAGGATAGTTGGCAGCAGGGACCTCGGTAGGGAACATGCCCATCTCCCCTCTGGCACTCATCATATCTCCCCTACCAGCCCTCCTCCTCCTCCTCCTGCGGGAGGTGCTAAATGGGACTTTGGGATCTTTCACCTGCTGTGCCCAGTAGTTCTGAAGCCTGCTTGTGGAACAGTGTTTTATGTTTATCCCTGTTTACTGAAGACCAAATACTGGTTTGGAGGCAACTTCTATGTCTTGCTCTTCTACCTCTCTAGTTAGTGGAAATTTGGATAAGGGAATTGTAGGGCTTAGATTCTGGGGGTTTTATGTCACTGGCCACAGAATAACTGTCTCTAAGCTATCCATGGTCCAGTGGTCGCTGTCAAGTCAGTAGACTTCAGAGAGCACTTCTCTCCTATGGGGCTTATGGGGACAGAGGGCAGGTGTGACTTGCTTGGTGGCCTCATTCCATGTGTGCCTGTGCCTGGGGCATGGACTTTGTTAAACAGCCAGCAGTGAGGTCCTCATTCTCCAGCCAGCCTCTCTGCCCTGGAGAATGATGAGCTGTGTTCTAAGAATTTGAGAACTAGAGTCCTCACCCCCAGGCTTGAGGGCACATGACTTTCTCATGTAGGGCTCTTTGTGGTATCTGTTGTTTTGCAACACGACCATTTTAGTAAAACAGTCCTATTCAAGTTGTATTCTTTTAAGTTCTTTTATTCTCCTTTCCCTGAGATTTTTGTGTATATTGTTCTGAGTAATGGTGTCTTTGAGCTGATTGTTGTAATCAGAGCTGGTACCTACTTTCAATAAATTCTGGTTTTGTGTTTTCTTTTGTAATCACTATTCATCCTGCCTGTCCTCTCCAAGCTGTGTTCCGTGGACTAGGGAGGCAGCAATTGGTGTGGGGGTCTTTGCACATCTGCTTTTCTCAGAAGATATGAAAACCTTTGCTTCGGACAGAATCATTCTGGTATCTGAAAAAGGGGCTTACTACAAGATCCAGAGCATCAGTACCTTCAACCCCCATCAGAGCACCCCCAGCACCTTCATTCCATGAGCTAGAAATTTGTATCTGGGAGGACAACGCCTAGGGTCTCTATAATAATTTGTAGTGGACTTTTGTTGACCAGGAACAAAACGGGGCAAGAGTAATTGGGTGATCATGAGTCTTACTTCCCAAAGTTTCTGAGGCCCTGGCAGATCTGCCTTCCCAGAACTCTCTAGGCTGAAAATGATCAACCTAGAGCTAATGATGCAAGAGAAGACAACCTGGGGGCATACTTAGCCAGGTCATTGGGCATTAACAATTTATAGACTAGGAGCCTTCTGGTAGTGACAGCATTTGGAAGAAGGGTTACTCAGTGCAAATAAGCAACCCAGACTATACATCATCAGGCCTAAAGAGCCTGATACCAAGGAAACACTTAGGATCCAACATGCTTTACCCAGAACCAGGTTCATCCCATTTCATTCAGTCTGCACCACTGCCTAAATCACCTCGTAGGAAATGCATGTTATGCAGCAGGTGCCTGATTAATGCCTGGGACTGAGACATGACAGTTCTTCATTTCATATAAGGGGCTGGCTTGGAAAGTAAAGAGTTCCCCATCCCAGGATTGATTGATTGATCAACTTTTGAGACAGAGTTTCACTCTTGTTGCCCAGGCTGGAGTGCAGTGGTGTGATCTCGGCTCACTGCAACCTCCACCTCTCAGGTTCAAGCAATTCTCCTGCCTCAGCCTCGCAAGTAACTGGGATTACAGGCGCACACCACCATGCCTGGCTAAGTTTTGTACTTTTAGTGGAGACAGGGATTCGCCATGTTGGCCAGGCTGGTCTCCTGACAGGTGATCCACCCACCTCCGCCTCCCAAAGTGCTGGGATTACAGTTATGAGCCACCATGCCCAGCCACATTCCAGGATTTAAAAAAAAATTTTTTTTTTTATCATTTGGTATCTTTTGTTGATTTGATATATTTTGCAGAACTTATGTCCCTACCATCCCAGGATTTTTAAGTACAGGCTGAACTATGTCACAGGGCTGGGACAAAGACAACCTAAATCTCACTGCCAGCCCCCAGATATACTTTCACACTCAGGTTGGGTTGGGGTTTTGTTTTGTTTTGTTTTTCCCAAATTAGTTGCTGACCATTTAAATATGGGGGCGATTACACAAAGATTGCTAGCCTCTGAAAATAAGATCTGACAGCACGGGTTAACAGTTGGCTAGAGCTCAGTAGCAGCTTTCCTTGGCCCACAGAGAATCCTCTTCCAGTTCAAAGCAATCCTGATGAGATTACTTCTTCCCTTGATGTTACCTGCCTCATCTCTGTAGGCAATTTAGTTTTTACTGTCTGCTGTGGAGAGAAAGCATAGAAAAGTAGGGCTGCCCCAGGTTGAAGGGAGAATGGAGGCCTGCAGTCCCTCCCTAGGGCCCCTGAGGCAGTTTTAAGGAACCCCAGAGGTCCAGTCAACTAAGTTCATTCTTTGTCCTACAGGGCCCCTGTTATTTCCAAAAGCCCTACTTGGGGCTTCCTATTGAGAGGATTACAAATGTATTATCTTGTGAAGAGTTAGATTACATTACTCATATGAAGAGTTAGCTCGTGTGTGTGTGACAGGACATCACCTAAGCATTTCTCCAAAGCATCAGACATGCCTTTTACCAGGAGGAATATCCCCGGCCCCACCCAGATAATGAGTTCACATACCACTGCGGGGCTTAGCTCCACGATATATCCCCAGACCTCTGAAAAACAAAGCATGTCTCAGTGCCTACCTGTGTACACACCCTGGTGGGTCTGTTTTCTAATTTTACACAGTATCATAGCTGTTGACCCCTACCTAAAATTCAGCATGCCATATGTACTCAAAACTTTCATAGTAGATACAATTCCTGTGGCTTCAGAAATGGAAGGACTGAGAGACACTCTTGAGAGAGGATTCAATCAGAATTGGGGGCTACACTGGGCTCCCTGCTAAAGGGGAGTCTGGAATCCAATTTGCTTTGCCTAAGGTGCCATCTCCCTTTGCGGGATTAAACATCTGCTCAGCCTTGTATCATCCCAACCTGCATCACCCCACCTGTCAAACAAGCCTCTGCCATCCCCTCCCTGCCAGCTGTAACCTGCACTTCTTGCCTTCTACACTTTGCCATCATCCTTCCCTCAGCTGATATTAGGATCTGCATGGTTCATCTTTCCTGATCCTTGGGTGGTAGATATGGCGGAGGACAAACATACCCTTGGCACCAAGATACCAGGAAGAACGCAGCTCCATCTGCAAATTTTCAGTACCCACAAGCATACATATGTCACAATATGCTAAGAACCATCAGGATGGAGACAGGTGACCATCTTCAAGGATACACCCTTCCAATCGAATGCCAAGGTCACCCTGGCAAACCTCCTCCTCTTGACCCTTCATAAGACTCCAGGTGAGGGTCAAGAAGGAGTGCTGGCCTGGCACAGTGGCTCACGTCTGTAATCCTAGCATTTTGGAGGGCTGAGGTGGAAGGATCACCTGAGGTCAGGGGTTCAGGACCAGTCTGGCCAAAACAGCAAAACCCCGTCTCTACTAAAAATACAAAAATTAGCCAGGTGTGGTGGCACATGCCTATAATCCCAGTCACTTACTGAGGCAAGAGAATCGCTTAAGCCCATGAGGCAGAGGTTACTGTGAGCTGAGATCATGCCACTGCATTCCAGCCTGGACGACAGAGCGAGTCTTGTGTCTCAAAAAAAAAAAAAAAAAAAAAAAAGGAGTGCTGTGGGCTGGGTGGAGGAAGGAAAAGGGGCCCAGGGGAAGCCTAAGTGAAAGGGGAGGGAAGGTGTTGCAATGGGGAAACAAGTCTGGTTTAGATTTTTTCATTTTCCTCTTACACTTCTACAAGCAGTCTTGATCAAACACATTCCTTGGAGCTAGGCTTGAGATACCCATAATCTGATCCCAAGACGCTGACAGGCAACATGAGGTCATTCATGAGCCCAACCAACTTCTGGCTTCTGTTGCCCCAAGACCCCAAGGAGCTCAACTAGTAAACTGGGGTGGGAAATATCCTGCGAATAGCAGGATTTTTTCAAGATGCTGGCAGACCGTTCCATTTCAATGGCAAAGGGTACAAAGAGATTTAAAGAGAGCTGCAGGTGGTGCAGTGTGAGTTTTACTCACTTCCTGAGCAACGGGGTGGAGGTAATGCTAGGAACTGAGACACCCTCCTGTAAGGTCCAGAACACAGGCATTGGCTACCAAAGGCAGCGAACACACTACCCACTTTCCCCTGGGAGCCTGCTCATACCTCCTCGGGAACAAAGTCAGGCAGAGCCCTTCCCTGAGCCCCCAAACACCTAGAATTCATCCTTATTGCCATGGCTTTTTACTTAACATGGGTACTTTTTACTTAACTGACTCGCCCATTGGGCAGTGAGGCCTTGAGCTGCCAGAGCCAGCCATCTAGTAGGTGCCTGGTCCATGCACAGTGAATGGGCAAATACCTTATCAAGCCAGATCAGCAGGCCCACTGCCTAGAGAAGTTCCATTCCTGACCACATGTCTACCTGGTGCCTCACACCAGCTAGGTAATAGTAATAATAATAGTAACACTAATAACAAGTGGGCACTTCCTGTGTTCTGTGTGCCAGGCACCGTGTTAATGCTGGGGTCCTGCATTCCCTGGCTGCGTGCCTCTCCTGGCGATGACTTCAGCGGAGCAATGCTGCTAACATCTCTAACCCACTCCTCATTCATTCCTCCCCACCAGAGGGTGGCTTCTCAAGTGGAATTGAGGGACAGCAGGAACAACCTGCTTGACTCAGTGCCCTCTGGCTTCTCCTGCAGATCTGCTTGCCCACAAGAAAGGTGCACCCCGCTCTGCTCCCATCGTGCAGGCAGGAGCTGAGGGGGCAGCTCTGCCCCTGCACTGGGTGTCTGCCCCACCCGGCTCAGCCTGGGACTGGGTGGGTCTAGTTCAGGGGAATGATGGGAAACACACTTTGTCCCTGATGCACAGCATCTCATTCATTGAAGACGTACATGTTAACATCTCTGAAACTGGGATGCATCTTCCGGTTGGATGGCACAACATAGTTGACTGTGATGTTTCTTTCTTGGTAGGACATGTTACACTCAATGGCATCTTAGCTTCAAAGAAACTTGGTAAGCAACATTCTCCAGTTAGCCTTATCAAAGAGCTGATATTTTACTCTCCACCTGTCCCAGGGAATTAGTACTTAACTGGCTCTGAGCACAGGAAGTGGGGGAAGGAGTATGATTTATCACCACCCCCACCACCCTACCCCTTGCCCTAAGCACTTCCCATGTCCTGAGCTGTGCAGATGAGGAAGACGCCTTCCCCGGCCTAAAGAACATGAACGGCCTGGGCCACGGAGAGGAGAAGCACTAGAAAGCCAACTGAGACATGCAAGGACTCATGTGGTCCAAGTGTGTGTGTGCATGTGTGCCCATGTGCACATGTGTGCACATGCATGGGCTCTCAGGCCTTGCGCATGCACCCTTTGGCTCACACCCGCAGCCTGTCCTGGTCATTGTCTCAGCCCACTCTTCCTCCTTTCGCTGGACTCCTCAAAGATTCCCAAACTCCACTCCCCAATCCTCTCATCTGGCTTCTGCCCTGACAACAAAGTCGCTGTTACGGGTTGAACTGTGCCCCCCACCAGGCCTCTATGTTGAAGTCCTAACTCGCAGTAGCTCAGAAGGTGACTGTATTTGGAGACAGGCCTTTAAAGGGGTGATTAAGTTAAAATGAGGCTGTTAGGGTGGGCTGGTAATGGACCAGTCCAATATGACTGGCATCCATAAAAACAGGAAATTGGACTTACAGAGGGGAGATGATGTGAAGAGACAGAGTGGGATGATGGCCACAGGCAAGCCAGGGAGAGAGGCCCAGAGCAGAAGCTTCCCTCACAGCTCTCCGGAGGAAACAACCCTGTCCACATCTCGATCTTGGACTTCCAGCCTCCAGAGCTGTGGGACGGCAAATCCCTGTCGGCAAAGCCACGGGTGCTGTGTTACAGTAGCCCAAGCAAATGAATACACTCACCGGTAACATCCCAGTGCCCACACTGACAGCCACTGCTCCCTCCTCTGTCACTTGCTTTCTCTGTTTTTTGTTTTGTTGTTATTTGTCTGTTTTTCTGCTCTATCACCCAGGCTGGAGTGCAGTGGCACAATCTCAGCTCACTGCAACCTCCACCTCCTGGGTTCAAGTGATTCTCCTGTGTCATCCTCCTGAGTAGCTGGGATTACAGGCACCCGCCACCACGCCCGGCTAATTTATGTGTTGTTAGTAGAGATGGGGTTTCACCACGTTGGCCAGGCTGGTCTCGAACTCCTGGCCTCAAATGATCTACCCACCTCAGCCTCCCAAAGTGCTGGGATTACAGGTGTGAGCCATCGTACCCGGCCATTTTCTCTGTATTTAACACCAAAACTTGCTCTTCAGCAGCAATGGCACAGCTCCTCCTGGCCTCTCCCACTGCTCCCCTTCATCCAGGTGCCTCCAACGCTGACGTCTCCCCTCTCCTGCACATGCTGGCCGGGTGACCTCCTTCTCACCGCGGTTTCCACCCCCATCTGAACGCTGATGACCCCAAAACTCTGTCTCTAACTTACATCTGTGCTCCGAGGTTCAGACCAGATATCCACCTGCCTCCTAGACATCTCTGCCGCACATCCCACGGGCATCTCAAACACATATCCAAAACTGAGTGCTGGGCATCCTTTCCTGGTCTCTGCCCTCCCTGGTACTGTCTATCCCAGCAAAGGACCCCACTGTGTCTGGGACACCTCCCTTGTTCTACTGCTCCTGAGACTGGGTGACAGACTTCTCTACACGCCCAGGGCACCCAGTTCCCCTCAGTACCCTGGGTCACACCGTCCTGCCACGGATCCTGGGACATCTTTCATGGCAGGAGCAGTGTTGGACTCACCTCTATGCAAAGACATCTCAGATGCACACTCTGGACATCCCTGTCCCCGAGGAAGGGGGCAGAAACCCTTCCACACCAGCTATACAATGATCAAGAAACGGTCACTCAAAGAGGCACCCTATCACAGACAAGTTTTTATTATCCTGCATAGAGAACCCAGGAAATATAAAAACATGTCCAGAAGGAACCCCCTCCGACTGGCCCCCTCCCTCCCAGGGTGAGCTCAGACCAGGGTAATGGGGGCTTGCAGGCCACCTCTGTCCAGCGAACAAGTTCCATATAAAAATAGATCTGTAGAGGGTTCCCAGAGAGCCATCGCCCCGCATCACGCCTGTGCAGGGCTGAGGCCTGGGACCCATCAGGATTCTGGGACCTCACTCCTCAGTGGAGGGGAGATCGACCCTGGACACCGAAGTCCTGCCAACACAGCCAGGGGCCCTTCTGCAGGAACAGCTGGGGTAGCGGGAGGAGACTTTTCCCTGCAGAGAATGACTGATGTAGCTGGAGATGGGGATGAGGCTCCATCCACCCAAGAAGGGATGCTGGTCCAGGCTTCCCAGGAGGGGTGGGGAAGGCGGATCCTGGAGGGCACCTGGCCGGGGGCTCCCCTAACCCTGACAAAGGTGGTAGCAACATCTTGGTCTCCCCAGTACCCCCAGAGTCACTGAGCTGGGGCAGGTGCTCAGGAGACGGGGAGGCAGGGGGCTGGGGGATATTCCAAGAGCAGAGGAGCTGCTGCTGGCAGGGTGGGGCCAAAGGCACCACTGTGAGTCACTGTCCCCCACCTTGGGGTGCTCTGCAAAGATGCACTGCACCTTCCGCCTCTGGGCTCTTTCTCATGCTAGCCTCTCTGCACGGACTCCGCTTGTCTGAGGCCTGCCATCTTGCCTGCCGAACACTCCACGCGCCCCAAGGAAAGAACCTTCCCTTTCCCACCTGCAAGGCCTTGTTCAACTTACATCTCAGCTTCACACTTCACGAGAGTGGCTATCTCCCCCTCCAGCCCACTCACCCACTGACCCAGAGGGCTCCTGGGGGCCCTGGGCACTGGTGGATGGTGCCCTGAAATTACTTCTTGGTACCTGAGCTCTTCTCCTGGTCTAGTCTGAGCCCCCCAAGGGCAGGCTGTGTGTCTTTTTCATCTCTTTTCTCTACCCCTTGTCTTCTCCTTCCCGCTCCATCCCACCCCACCCACACACAGCCAAGCACAGCAGACAAGTGTCAGGGGTGGCCTGAACAAACTCAGCCCCTGTGGCCCTGCCAAGATCCAGCTGCCTTCCTGCTACCCTACAAAAGCCCTGACATCCTGGGCCCCACCATTCCCAGGGGCCCTTGTGGATAAGGAACTCCATGGTGGGCTCAGCACAACCACTCCTGCCAGGGCTCCATGAAGTCAGAGCAGGGAGGGGCTCCATGGAAGGCTGGCTAGTGTCCAAGGCACGGAGCTGGCTGGAGGGGGTCACCTCTAGAGTCCCCACGGGCTGTACAGGGAAGTGGGGGTGCCATAGGGCAGGACCAAGGACTCTCTCTCCAGAGCCAGCCTCATCCCTGGATTGGGTTCTGACCCCAGCTCTGACCCTGACACCTCACTTGGCCTCAGTTCCCCCATCTGTACACTGGGGGTTAGACCAGCCTGTTTGAGAGAGAGGACCTGTCTCTGAGTCTCCTCTTCACCCTCCCCAAGGCTGGAGAGAAAAGCTCTTGGGTCCCTGGGGAGATGACATGGCCCTTTATGATTTTCCCAGATGTCCTGGCCACTGAGTTCATAAAGGAATGCACACGAGGGCCTCGTGGAGCCCCAGGGAACACCAGGGCCTTGCATGACCCAGCCTGGTCAGGATTCTTGGCCTCACCCTGAACTGTCAGCTCAAGGCAGGGGAACACAGAAACCAGCTCCTGAGTCTAGGGCTCTTGGGCGTCAGCCCCTGAGCTCAGCACCATCTTTGCCTGCCTGGGCCTTGGCCAGTATCCAGTCAGCCCCTGCCAAGGCACAGGGAGCTGAGGACGATGCGTCTCTGGCACAGCCCCCGAGGCCTGAGCCACCAGGCAGCTGCCAGGAGTCACTGCCAGGTAGAACAAGAGCCCCCTGGGACCCATGCTGTCTGACTGGTCAATGGGTCTGTGGGAAAAGGGAACACCCCACGGGGTAGGCCCCAGCCCCTAGTGGGTATGAATGGCAGTAGGGCATGAGCCAGGGCAATCTCAACCCACTGTCTTCCCTCCAATCCCTGCCCCAGCTCTTCTCTGAGACCCCGAATTTCCTCCTGCTGTTATCTCAGGGGTCCTCTCTAGGGACTTGAACCTCTTTTCCGGGGCACTGAGTTAGCGAAGGTGTTCAGACTGGTGAAAATGGGAGGAGTAGGCAGTGAAAGCAGGGAAGCTGGGGCCCCAAACCAGATCTGGGCCCAAGCGGAGGAAGAGAGTGCTCCCTCCCACGCTGCTGGAGCACAGCTTGCCACAGTCCTTGGGCAGGGCTGGGGATCTGGACCCCCACCGGAGTCCTGCCTTGAAGAATGGGGTCCACTCACACCTGCACCCCCTGGCCCTGCAGCTGGAGCACTCGTGCCTGTAGGGCGCTGATCCCGCTGAGGAGGGCCTCTCGATGTTCAGCTGAAGAGATGCCTAGGCTCACCAGGTCCCTGAAACAAAGGCTGGTCACACTTAGCTGGCTTGACCCCAACTTCTGCTCCTCCCATGAAGGCCCTCCACTCTCCCTCCGCTTCTCTGGACAGGTTGGGACTTCCCAATATAGGCAGGGACAGGGCCCCTGGTATCCCCTAGCCCCAGCCTTGACCTTGGTGCCTCGGACTCACTGGGCGGTCATCTCGGCCACGGCCTCCAGGCTCCCGTAGCCAGCAGCTGCGAAGCTGTCCTTGTAGCGGCACAGGTCCAGGGCCTCCAGCCACGCGCCCACAGAGCCAAAGGAGGGGAAGGTGGAGAAGGCACGGTCCGCTAGTGGGGTGGGAGGCCTGCGGGTCAGAGGAGCTGCGCTCAACCGACAGCTGGGATCTGGGCCCAAACCTGGTGGTCTCCCGGGGAGAGGCCAGCTGAGGATGAACAGGAGAAGGAGAGGGTAACCGGGCCCTGGGGCTGGACCCAGCTCACATGAGCACCGTGCTTTCCTGAAGAGGCGAGGGCTTCAGGTTCTTCAGGCAGGTGGAGGCAGAGCCAGCTAAAGGTATTGGAGTATCTGGAACAGTCTGGGGTAGGACATGCCTAGGACTGGTTGGTGACTCATATTTGGAACAAGGAATATTAATTTCACATATTTGATTCATTGGGACTACAAATGTGTTAGGGCTATTACCACATCTATTTCTCCAGTCAGAGGTCATTGTACCCAGGGATGCAGGCAAAATCCAGGAGACGCGGAAGTGACCAGGAGGATGTGCAGTGCGGTGGGCCTGGGCAGGTGGGAGGGCTACAGCCCTCTGGGGCAATGGGGTGAGCGATCGCTCCTGGACAGGTTGGGGGGGTGGAGGTGGTGGGTTTGCACTTGAGACATGCAGGAAGACCCTCCACGGACAGGTGAGAGGCTGGCTGTCTCCTGTGGGAACATACCTGGGACAGGTAGTCGGGGCACAGTTGGGGGGCTCCGGGTCCTGCACCATCTTGCTCAGGATGCTGTGGATCTGGGAGAACCTGGGCCGCTCACCTGGGTCCTTCTGCCAGCAGTCGAGCATTAGTCGGTGCAGTGGGGTAGGACAGTTCCTGGGAGGTGGCAGCCGGAAGCCATCCTCCACAGCCTTGATCACCTGGGCGACGGGGATAGGGAGCAGAGAGGAGGCTCCAGGTTTCCCCAGGACACGGTACGCGCACACACACACGCACACACACACGCACAGACACACACACACGCAGACACACAAACACGCATGCACACACACAGGCACGTGCACGTGCACACACGCGTGCACACACGCGCGCACACACACATGCACACACACGCACAGACACACACACATGCATGCACACACACACACACACACAAAACACACACAAGGAAAACTCAGGCAGTGGCCAGGCAGAACCAGAAGCAAGCAGACAGAGAACAGGGGCCTAGGGCTGGAAGGCTGAGGGCCAATGGGCAGAGGTCAGGGAGCTGGGGCCTGAGGTAAGAGGGTCAGAAGGCATGGAGCTGGAGTCACCAGTTACTCACGTCTTGGCCAGACATGTCCCAGTAAGGCCGCTCCCCAAAGGCCATCACCTCCCACATGACGATGCCAAAGCTCCATACATCACTGGCGGAGCTGAAGTGGCCAAACTGAAGCGTCTCAGGGGCGGCCCACAGCGCTGGGCTCCGGCCACTCTGTAGGAGCAGGCAGGTCAGGGGCAAGGAGGAACTGGATGACACACAGGTTTCCCCACCTGACTGAGCCCTAGATCCAGCCCTGAGTGTCATCCTCCCAAGCAACCCCCAACTCCAGCTTCACATCTAGGAAAGACACAAAAGCTGACCTCAAGGGGAGGTCCACTCGCATTTATGCCAAGACCAGCTGGGTGGAGGGGCAGGGAAGGGAGTGAAGTGGGGAGCTAGGGGTTCCAGCGCAGCTTGGCGGGAATCAGAAGGCACAGGCAGGCTTGGCTGGGGGCACCCTCACCATAGTGGTGTAGACAGCCTCTGCTCGGTCCCGGGGGCCCCGCCCGAAGCCAGAGATCTTGCAGACAAGGTCGCTGCTGATCAGCACACGGCGAGCTGCCAGGCCCCGGTGAACGTAGCCCATCTCTGACAGATACTTCATGGCTGATGCCAGCCCAGGCAGCAACCCCATCAGTTGCCCAGCCACCAGCTGCCCCTCGTGCCGCTGTGGAGGGAGGAGACTGAGGCCAGGGCTGTGGGCTTGGATCCCCTGGTGTTGTGTGACGCCAGGGCAGTCACCCAGCTCTCGCCAGGCTTTAGTTCACCCTGTGACCACAGGTCAGCCCGGCCAGTGGGGATGATGCCAATTCCAAGCCCTACCAAAGAGAAAAGTGAGGGACCCCTGCCCGCTTTACAGAATAAAGTGGTCATTGGCAGCCCCAGGGCCACTCACCCTGAGGAAGCCGTCCAGGGCCCCATGGCTCATGTACTCGGTGACAATCATCAAGGTGCTTCCTGTGCCCAGGGATGGGAACACACATGCTAAGTTGCCTACTCCACCCCGCGCACACACAAGTTTCCCCCCCGGTGCCCCAGACCGGGCCTCGAGAGCCAGAACCAGCACCAAGCTCCCTAATCTCGCCATCCTCCTGCCCAGCCCAGGGTCCACTATGCCGAGGAACAAAAGAGGAGACATCTTAGGTGGACAAAGGCCAAGGTCATGAGCTGCAATAAGCTTGCTAAGAAAGATCAGTCTTTCTAGGAGTGATATTCTAGGGGGTCAGAAGATCACTGAAAGGTCAGAAAGGTCATTCTGGCTGGGCGTGGTGGCTCACGCCTGTAATCCCAACACTTTGGGAGGCCGAGGCAGGTGGATCACAAGGTCAGGAGATCAAGACCATCCTGGCTAACACGGTGAAACCCCACCTCTACTAAAAATACAAAAAAATATATATATATATTAGCCAGGCATGGTGGTGGGTGCCTGTAGTCCCAGCTACTCGGGAGGCCGAGGCAGGAGAATGGCGTGAACCCGGGAGGCGGAGCTTGCAATGAGCCAAGATCACGCCACTGCACTCCAGCCTGGGCGACAGAGCAAGACTCTGTCTCAAAAAAAAAAAAAAAAAAAGAAAGAAAGAAAGAAAAAAAAAAGAAAGGTCATTCTGAGCCAGAGTGGCCACTCTAGGAGAAGGGCCACCCTGAGTCAGTGAAAGCTGAGGTCCCTGGCTGAAGCTACCTCCCACAGCTGAGGGAAGGACCTGGAGGGGCAGGGGCACCCCAAACTCCCACCCCATCATTTCCACCCACCATACTCGTGGGCTGGGCAGCAGCAAGGGAGCACCGGGCCCTACCTCGGGTGACAACACCTTCCAGCCGCACGATGTGGCTATGGTCAAACTGGCCCAGAGTAAGGGCCTCCGCCAGGAAGCCAAGCCTCTGTGAGTCGGAGGCGCTGTCCCTCAGCGTGTGCACGGCTACAGGCAGCTCCTGGCGACCGGGGAGCTGTAGGCAGCCACAGCACAGCTCCCCAAACCGCCCTGTGGGGAAACAGCACATCAGATACTGCCAGAGGCCACTGCCCTGGCTGAGCTGAACAGGCTGAGCTGAGGAGAAAGTGACTCTGACCAGCCTGGCCAACATAGCGAAACCCAGTCTCTACTGAAAATACAAAAATTAACCAGGCATGGTGGCGCATGCCTGTGATCCCAGCTACTTGAGAAGCTAAGGCAGGAAAATCCCTTGAACCCAGGAGGCGGAGGTTGCAGTGAGCTGAGATTGTGCCACTGCACTTCAGACTGGTTGACAGAGCAAGACTCAGTCTCAAAAAAAAAAAAAAAGTGACTCCAGATCATGGACTGTTTCCAGTTGAAATCCTGGTAAACTAAGTACCAGCAGTGTGACCTAGAATTCCATCTCGTTCCCTTTCTTGGCCAGTCTCCTCTGTGAAATGGGGATTCCTCCCTGCCTTCCTCAGTGGGGGGAGGTTTCCAAGTCTTAAAGAAAGGACGGGGCACATGCCAGCGTGCCAATGGCCATCAAACCCCATGTGACCCAGGACGGATGACAATGACATCTATTCTTCCAACCCCGCTCCTTTCTGGCTTCTGTCTGGAGACAGTGTCAGGGGATAATGTCAGGCTCCCAGTGAAAGCAGCTGCCGTCTCTGAGCACAGAAGGTTGAGGATTTGTAGTCAGGAAGAAAGGCTAGCAGGAGACTGGCGCTTAGAGAGCAAGAGCCGACAGCCAGGCCCTGTGAGGAGTGCTGGGAGGTCCCCACATTAGCCCCCAGAAGGCAGATATCATGCCCATTTCACAGATGAGAAACTGTGGCTCTGAGCAAAAGAAGGCCATGCCCCTGATCGTGCAGCAGGTCAGTGGGAGGGCTAGGACTAGAACTCAGTTATGTCTGGCCCCCAAGCTTGCAAAGGCCCCTCCCCACGGCCCCATAAAGGCCCGGGACTAAACTGCCAGTGGTAGTGTGCAGAGGTCTGACCTTGAGGACCAGGAGAGGGTCACAGACCCCTCTGCCATCCTCTTCCCTACAATCAGGCAAGTCAGGGACTTTCTGGGTGGAGGGTGGGCTTGGTGTGGAGGCAGGGTTTCCAGACACGAGCAGGGACTCGGGTGGAGGTGGGCTTCAGGATAGCGGTGTGGACAGAGTAGGGGCGGGGCCTGTAGAGTGGGTGGGGCTTCCAGATGGGGACAAGTCTTCCTGGGCACCCAGCTTGCCTGCTCCAAGCCTCCTCTCCAGCGTGACGCTTTTCGCATCCAGTTCCTTGGCGAACAGATGCACAGCCTGCAGTGGGTCCCCACAGCTCTGGGGGTCCAGGAATGTGCGACGTGTTGGGACTTTGACTGGGAGAGAAAGAGATGAACCTAAGGAACGGGGCCTCCGCCACTGGGGTGGACAAGCGGGCTCATGCAGTGGAGCAAGGCAGAGGGCTGAGGAGTGAGGCAAGGTGGAGCCCGCCCCTCCCCAGCCAGGCCCAGCCAACTCACAGTGGAAATACAGCTCCTCTTCATCATGGGCGTCCCCTCCTCCTTTACCATAGCTGCAGGGCCTGGCAGGGAGTTCAGGATCATTCTTTCAGCCAGGCCACCCCAGCCCTTCCCATTGCAGAGCACTGAGGGCAGTGCCCCTTGGTCCCTTCAAAAGACAAGGCCTGTGCCCTGGGGGAGGGACCTTCCTGTCCAGCTGGTTTAAAAGTTTCTCTGTAGTTTGACAACCTCCCCATGCCACAGATACAACCGTAGCCCTAGACCAAACCCTCACCACCACCACCATCCCTAGCTACTTTCACACAGTGAAAATTATTGCAACTCCAGAGGCACCCAATCCACACCCTGACTGCAGACCCCCAGCTGACCCCAACCTGCGGTTTTACGAAAGTGTGAATGAGGCAAGCGGACCCAGAACTCAGGGGCAGCTTCTGGTCTGGTCAGGAAAACAAACACGGAGAGTTAGCCACAAGCCCACTCATCAGTGCTGGCAAAGAAGGGTGGTGTACTGTGGGGACATGGGACAGACAGCCCTGACCTGATCTGAGTTCATTGTGGATGGCTTCCTGAGACAGAGGCAGCCACGGGCCAAAGGACTGCATCACAGTCAACAAAGCCACAGGTTGGCACTTGGAGTCCCCAGGGGCAGGGCCTTGCTGGCCAAGATAAAGACTTCAGCTTTGATTCTGGGAGCAGAGGAGAGCCCCTGTGGAGCTGAAGCAGAGGAGTGCAATGATTTGATTTCTACTTTAGAAAGAGCTCCAGTTGCAGAGTGGAAGCTGCCGCGGGTGTCACCACAGGAGAGGAGCTGGCAGTGCTTCCAGCTATGGGGTCAACATGGGCATGGAGAGAGGCAGAGGACTCGAGTGACATGAAGGTGACAGGGGCCACAGGGCTGAGAGGTTGCTGGATGGCAGAAAGGAAGAGGGAGAAGTTGCCCACAGAGTTGATGGTGGTGCCATTTACTGGGACGAGGAGACACAAAGTTCATATTTAGACACCTGAGTTTGCAGGCCTAGGGGATAAGCAGGGAAGATAAGAAGGGGGTTCAACATGTGTGTATCTGGAACTTGGAAGAGAGGCCTGCTCTGCAGATACAAATCAGGAGCAATGAGCATGGCCCAGGGAGAGAATAGAGTCTGAGAAGAGGGACTAGGAATAAGTCTGAGAAACCCCAACATCCAGGCTAGAGGAAGGAAGCACCAGGGACAGTACAAAAGAACCACCAGAGGAACAGAAGGAGAGTGGAGGGAAACTCGGGCAGGGTATCACGGAGACCAAGGACAGAGAAAGTAGAGGGGGTGGTAGAGAGAAATCACATAAAGGTACAAGCGGGGACTTTCCGAAGTTTTCACGACAGAGATGATCACATGTAGATATAGATGGGAAGGAGGAGCAAAGCTGTCACACAGAGGGAAGCAGCCACCGAAGGGTGTTGACGGCCTGGGCTCAGAACCTGACTGCACGGACCTGCTTCCCAGCGCCTCCACTCGGTAACTGTGGGACTGGGTGGCTCTGTTTTCTCTTTAATAAAATCAAGATAAAGATAGGCCTGCCAGACAGCAGCATGTCAGACAGCTTACCAAGCCTCCACACATGTTCACTGTTATGGGGGGAGAGGGGGACATTAGGAGTAATAGTGGGCTCCCAAGATGGCAAAAGGGTGGGGTTCGGTCATAGATGGAAGGACTGATCCTGGCTGGGAGGATCACCTCTTCTAGAGGAAACGGGGTGAGGACAGGTGCAGAAGCAGGCAGGTTTGTAGGTTTGGTGGTAAAAGTAGCCCAGGGGTCAGTGAGGAGGCTAAAGAACAGGTGTGACAGGTGTGGCCAAGACAGCAAGCTGCAAAGACAGGGAATCTGCAGGCCAAGAGGGGTACGGGATTAAGCACTGGGGTGAGGCCAGGCATGGTGGCTCATGCCTGTAATCTCAGCACTTTCGGAGGCTGAGGTGGGTGGATCACCTGAGGTTAGGAGTTCGAGACCAGCCTGGCCAAAATGATGAAACCCCGTCTCTACTAAAAATACAAAAAAAATTAGCTGGATATGGTGGCACAGGCCTGTAGACCCCGTTACTCAGGAGGCTGAGGCAAAAGAATCACTTAAACCGGGGAGGCAGAGGCTGCAGTGAGCTGAGATCATGCCACTGCACCCCAGCCTGGGTGACAAGAGTAAGGCTCCATCTCAAAAAAAAAAAAAGGTAACGAGGCGAAGCATTCCAGGGGGATGGCCAGGAGGAACAGAAGAGATGATTCTTGGGAATGAGAAGTCAAAGAACCAAGGGGCAAGGGATGGGACAGGCTATCTGGCAGCTACTGACGTCACCCAGGGTGGTAACAGGATTTCCACGAATGAGGAGCAACATCCAGGAAAGATGGGTGGAAATGAAGTGGGGAAGGTTGAGTGGATGGAGGAGCGAGAGAGGGTGCGTGGTGCGGAGAGGAGAGAGGCTTCCACTGGACCACACGGGCTGGTGAGAAGTGGGCAAGCCAGGGTGGACTGGAAAGGAGGGAAACTGGAGGTGAGGGACCACGGCGCAGAGCAGGTCCTACACACAGGACAGTGTGAGAGGCGCTGCAGACAGCCCGCCAGGCTGGGACACGCATGCTGGCAGAGAACGCCTCTCTACCCCTCCACGCTAAACCAGGCTCACTCTCCCCATTTCGGTGCAGCTGAATTTGGAATCCCGCACTGGCTTGCTCCGCCTCTGCAGTGCACCTGTCCCCAGGGCACTCCTGTCCTGCAGAGCCTCTGCCCGGAAGAGGGGCTCTTGGCTCGCTCATCTCCCTCTGCCTTCTGCCTCTCAGAGCCCCTCAGTGCAAAGCCAGGATAAGATGCTCTTGGCATCTGTCCATCCCTGCTTTTACTTTTTTTTTTTTTTTGAGACGGAGTCTCGCTCTGTCGCCCAGGCTGCAGTGCAGTGGCCGGATCTCAGCTCACTGCAAGCTCCGCCTCCCAGGTTTACACCGTTCTCCTGCCTCAGCCTCCCAAGTAGCTGGGACTACAGGCGCCCACCATCTCGCCTGGCTAGTTTTTTATATTTTCAGTAGAGATGGGGTTTCACCGGGTTAGCCAGGATGGTCTCGATCTGCTGACCTCGTGATCCACCCGTCTCGGCCTCCCAAAGTGCTGGGATTACAGGCTTGAGCCACCGCGCCCGGCCCATCCCTGCTTTTTCAACAGGTCCAGCACGTGGACCTTCATTCTCCATGAGCAAGGAGCTCCCTACTCTTGTCCTGCCCTCCTGATTTGCCTGGCCCAGGCAGAGCTGGCTTCTAGACTAGCGAGACAGTGTTCTCTCCCACTCAGTCACTTTCAATGCCTCATTCAAGGCCAAGCAAATAGCCAGTACCAAATGAACGCCCATTGTCCATCCAGCTGCCAGGCAGTTTCAGGATGCTGAGATGTGGCTCCCTGGCCCACCCACCTCTCTCCTCTGCTTTCCCACTCCAGCCCATCTCATGCAGAATTTCTAACCTCTCTGGTCTGCTGATCTCAGCGCAGCCTGGGACCCATCTGGGTGACTCTGCCTGCAGCAGAGTGTAGCCCTGGGGAGAAGGGGAGGATATATGCCAAGAGGCCTCTGCTGCCTGCAAAAGGACTAGAATCTTCTCTGAACCAGACTCAAGCTCTACGTCTTTCCCCTTCCTCCTATTCCCTTTCTCTGCTCACCCTCCTGCAAGCTTCTTTCTGCTAGGGGTGGGAGGTTTCTGCTTTATGAATTGCCCTCCCTGTCCTGCCCCTCCCACACACATACATACACAAGATTTCTGTCTTTTCCCCCTTTTCCTGTGTTCAAGGGCCTCAAGAGGCCTGGGGGCCTCTGAGCACCTCCGGAGAATCCTAATCACACTGGAGCAGCCAGAGCTTGATTCCTTCCTCAGTGATGCCTTCTGACATTTAATGAGTTAAGGCGCTAAATCCCCTTCATCCCAGAGCGGCTGATCTAGCTGCAGTGCTGGCTGCCGCAGGAACAGTGAGCGGGGGAGGGGCCAGAACGATGCACACCTATATCTGTACAGCAGTGTGCTTGCGGGTGCAAATCTGCCTGTGTGGAAAGCGGGCAGAGATACCTGTGAGCACACATTACTGTGCACGGGACATGGCACACCAGGGGTCACCTAGGCTGGGGCCAGCCACCTACCTCCTCCAAATGGCCAGCACACTCATCACGGAGCCCAGGACGAGGAGGGCTGAGATGGTCACTACGGTGACGACAACAGCGGGGCTCTGGTCCCTGGACCCTGAGGCAGCTGGGAGGAAAATCACGAGGTTGAGGCGGGCAGAGGACCGGGCTCCTAGGCAAGCCCCGGGGCAGACTCCTGTCCTCACCCTGTAGCAGGATTCCCACAGCACCTCTGCACTTGGCACTGTCTCCCAGCCACAGAGGCGCCAAGGCAGTCCCACTGACCACAGTGGCACCTGGAGTCCCAAGAGCTTCCTCTATTCTCAGAGCAGGACACCTCCACGGCAGCCCAGCTCCTGCTCAGAGAGACAGGCAGGAGTCCAGACAGGCAGGGCCGGGCCTCTCTCTATGCCTTTCAGATGAGCAGTGAGAGATTCAAAGTCGTTCTGCAGGAGGAATGACCTCTGCTCTGAGCTCCCTACGCCCCACCCAGACCATCCACCAACAATAATCAAAAGGGCTAATGGTAACTGCACCTTACTCCATTCAAGACACTGGGCCATTTGCCTTCACTATACTGTCTTGTTTCATCATCACAATAATCCAGGAAGGCATTACCATCTCCATCTTACAGCTGAGGAAACTAAGGTTGAGAAATTACATAATTTGCCCAAGATCACATGGCTAAAAAGTGGTGAACCTAAGATTTGAGCATGACTCCAAAAGTCTCTGCCTGATTCCAAAGTTTCTGCTTTGAACTATTTCCCCAAGAGAGCAGCCCAGAGGACCCTCGCTCTCAGCCCTATTCATCAATCTATCCAATCGACCCATCCATCCATCCAACCTACGTGCCCAGTTTGCATTAGTACTGAGGAGACAGTGATGAATCTGGAGGGGTGCATGGGCCTATGGGTGAGATAGAAACAAAAATCTTAACTGTAGGATGGAAAAAGAAACAGAAATGAGCAGAGCTGAGCAGAGGCACAATAATTTCTTCCTAAAGTCAATGAGGAAGGCTTCACAAAGAAAGGTGCCATCTGAACTGGACCTGCAGACTGGAAGGATTTTTGATGGTGCTTTGATGCACACGCTGGGTCTGAAAATGGCAAGTCGTCCCATGTGTCTGGGAAACAGACTGCACGAAGGCGGAGAGTGGCAAATAGGAAGCTGGAGGGTGGGAAGACGGAGGGAACTGGGGGAGCCAGAACCTGGAGGGCCTTGAATGCTAAGCTAAGGAGTAAAAACTTTCTCCTGTGGGCAACAGGGAGCAGTGGAGAGAGTTCCTGCCCAAGAAGAAAAGGAATGAGGGCGTTTGCTGAGGTGGGAGTGAGGATGGAGAGGAGGTGCTTGAGAGAGGTGAAGGTTTGGCGTAACTATTAGGAATGGGAAAAGTACTAAGTGGCCCTGAAGACTGAACTGAGATTGGAAAGTACACCTCTGCAGGCAGCTTCCGCGTGGGACATGGGGAGGAGAAAGGTCCAAGTCTGGGGACTAGCAGGTGGACGCAGCAAGACGCCCAGGGAATGAGGGCTGGCAGAGTTAGGGGGTATTTCTGATGAGCTCATCTGCAGGGGCTGGGTAGAGATGGGTGTGGGGCCCGCAGGAGCTAAAAGCCTTGAAGATGAGGTAGGATCCAGTGAGCTGTCTTTCGGATGTCACAGAGCATGTGAGGAGGAACAGAAGAGGATAGTTAGAGACCAAAAATGCTAGAGTCAAAGAGGGTATTTCAGAGCCCAGGGTTCCAGAGGTAAAGAGGGTCAAGGGTCTGGGCATGGACAGAGGGGAACAGAGTTGCCAAGAACTGCTTGAAATGAGGCATCCATGTGGACACAGAAATGGAGAAGATGCCAGCAGTGGGCAGCCTCTGAGATGGCATCCCTACCTCCTGGTATCCATTCCCCGTGAGTGCAGGCTGGACTCACTTCTAATGAACAGAATATGGCAAGAGTATTGGGGTGTCATTCACAGGATGACTAAACAAGACGAATGGCTTCTGTCTTGGGTGCCCTCTCCCTGGCTCACAGTCTCTGGAAGAACCTAGCGGTTGTGGTGAGCAGCCCTAAGGAGAGGCCCACGGGGCAAGGAACAGCGTGCCTCAGCAGCAACCAGCAAGACCCCGAGGAGGGAGGTGAACTCTCCCCCAGCTAAGCTCCGAGATGATCACAGCCCGAGGACAACTTGACGGCAGCCTTGGAAGAGACCCTAAGTCGCTGGCACCTAGCTGAGAGGCACCTATATTACCCATCCATGGAAAAATAAGATATTCAATATTTGTTGTTTTCACCTGCTAGATGTTGCAGCAACTTGTTACATAGCAACAGGTAACTAGCACAGTGGTGACGCATAAATGTTCACCAAGACCTTGATTGGGGGCCGGGCATGGTGGCTCACACCTGTAATCCTAACACTTTGGGAGGTCAAGACAGGAGAACTGCTTTCAGCCCAGGAGTTCGAGACCAGCCTGGGCAACATAGTGAGACCCCAACAAAGTAAAAATATTAGCTGGGCATGGTGGCGAGCGCCTGTGGTCTCAACTACTTGGAAAGCTGGGGTAGGAGGATCACTTAAGCCCGGAAAGTTGAGGGTGCACTGAGCTGTGACTGTGCCACTGCACTCCAGCCTAGGTGACACAGTAAGACCGTATCTCAAACAAACAAACAAACAAAAATCTCAGTTTGGAGACACAGCTCATGGGAAACCACACTCTGTAGATTAGGAGAACCATAGCCATGGCCACAGGAAGGGGGGCTGGGGATCTCAGCAGTCTCTACCAACTGAGAGGTACCCAATGAATGGAGACCATCAGCCCTTCTCCGCTGACAGCCCCCAGCTCCTGCCCCCCACATGCCCACTCCAGAAAAACCTGCCCGCCTTTGTTCAGATGGCTTCCTCTCCCCAAAATGCCTCCCTGCCCATCTGTACACATTCAAATATTCCCCAGCTTTAATCTCCTCTTTCCAGCACCTGGCCGAGGTCTAACAGTTTTTGCATTCAGGCAAGAAGTGTGGTCTTTCTTCCCAGAACTCAGACCCCTTCAACATTTTATCTTCACCTTGCCTTGGGCTCAGAGCTCTTCCTATCTTGGATTAGAGTCATGTAGCAGGTTGGAAAGAATTATTATCTTGACAGCTGGTGCCAGAATGCCTCTTAGGGGGAACTGCCTTTGTTCAGGAAAATATTTTCATGAGCTGCTCAGGGTAGATAGAGGTGAGATCCTGAGGGCCAGGTTAGCAGCAGGCAAAGCAACAAGACAGCTAAACTGCTCTGCACACATCAGGGAATTGGGGAGTGGGTGGGGAGAAGAGGAACCAGGGGAGGGAAGTAAAGGAGGAGGGAGGAAAGCACAATATTGTGGAGAAGCCAGAGATGTTTTCAGATGAGGATATTCAATGTCCAGTTTTTGTTTGGTTTTGGTAACAGCTTTATTGAGATATCATTCACATAACATGTGATTTACCCACTTAAGGTACGCAATTCTTCCTTTTTTTTTTTTTTTTTTTTTTTTTGAGACAGAGTCTCACTCTGTGACCCTAGGCTGGAGTGCAGTGGCACAATCTTGGCTTGCTGCAACCTCTGCCTCGCGGTTTTAAGCGATTCTCATGCCTCAGCCTCCCGAGTAGCTGGGATTATAGGTGCCCGCCACCACGCCCAGCTAATTTTTGTATTTTTAGTAGAGACAGGGTTTCACCATGTTGGCCAGGCTGGTGTCGAACTCCTGACCTCAGGTGATCCACCTGCTTCGGCTTCCCAAAGTGCTGGGATTACAAGCGTGAGCAACCGCGCCTGGTTGCAATCCTTATTTGTTTTTATCACTGCAATGCAACCCCTTCATATCCATCAACCTTCAGTGAAGTCAGCATCACGCTCTAAGGCCTGGTGAGGAAAGGGACAGCGTCCCATGTTTGGGTCTCTACCCAAACTGAGTCTCTATCCAGCTGAGACATGGGTTATAGCTGTTCACAAACCCCTCTCCTGTGAGCTCCTCCAGGACAGTTTCCCAATCTAATTCAAGTCGGTGAACAGGCATTAGTCAGTGGATTCCAAAGTCATTAATTAATTAGGCTGTAATTAAACTGTTCTGCAGGCTCCCTTAATGGCACAGATAACTCCAGACAACTCTCCCCCTCTATTTGTCTCCCTGCCTCAGCCCCGTGCAGGGTTCTCTCTGTCTAGGTCCCTGTCCACTCATACACACTACTTACCCTCCCCCGGGGTCTGCACTTCAATGCTGGGGTTAAAGCTCTGGGCCTCCCAGGATGGCCCCGGGGAAGCAGCCCGGATCTGAAAGACGTAGCGGGTAGCTGGCTTCAGGTTGGTGACAGTGACTGTGGGCGCCCCTGTCTTCACCATGGAGTAAGTCTGCTCACTCTGACCCTGGAGAGAGATCAAGAAGTGAAGCCCACCAGCGCCAGGTCCACTGTTCTAGGAGAACAAAGGGTGAACAGGAACAGGGAGGCAGGAGAAGCATCCTTAGGTGACATGGGCTGAGTGGGAAAACCCAACCCCAATCATCTTGGGGGTTCCCAGGGATCTTTCCCTTGGATCCTCAGCCCCTGTCTTCACCGCAAGCTCCCACCCACACTCTGTGGCACTTGTAGCCGAGAATAGCCCCACCTCTGCGTAAGAGAAATTTTAGAGAAGGCGCCAGATCCTCCTTCCGGGGGATGATAGGATGAGGGCCACCAGGGCCTGTCCATCCAGGCTGAGCTGGGCCAGTGCCCTAGGCAGGCCTGAAGCCTCAGAGGACAGAATGAGAGAATGAGCCCTAACCCACGAAAGCCCCCAATGGCCCACAAGGCTTTTCCTTTCCTTGATGTCTGATTTTCACAACTGTCCTGCAAGGCTCAGAGGACAGAAAGTATTATCTTATTTCTTTGTTTCACAGATAAGGAAACCCAGCTTAGAGGGGTAAAGACTCCCCCAAGGCCCCAGCTGGAGCTATCACTGATGAGCGCCTACTCAGTGCCAGCTTCTACATGAGACTCTACCTTCCGTGAGCCTCACAATGGCCCTGTGGAGTCAGCATTTCCACCTCCTTTTTAGGTGAGGTTCACATCAAGGAAGGGGCCGGTGCGCCCTCGGAATCCCTGCAGAGCCTGTGTTTTTTCCTTAACATCATGCTGCCCCCTACTCCACCCCAACACACCTGACAATGGCATACTAGAGATGCTCCTCCCGTCGTTTCGTCCCTGCCCACACCTTATTAGAGTCCCTGCCATATTCACAGCCCTGGAAGGTTACTCTCCCCGCTGATATTCTGTGGCTCCAGCTTTTTGACCATAGCATTCAGGAATTGGGACGAACTTCGACCCAAGCTGGGCCAATCAGAATCTCTCTTCCAGGCATCTCAACAATCCATTGAAAGACGGAGCAGCAGTGGCTTCAGGACCTCCAAGGTAGGGCAGGCTAGGGGCAGGGAGGAGGAAGGAACAAGGCTGCCCACCTGGGCATTGGCAATGTGCTGCAAGCAAGCCCCTCTGCAACGTGGGCTGGATTGGTGTGCAGAGAGAAAGGTTGAGATGAGAAGCACTGTGGCTCCAGAGAGGAGCTGCCGGACACCCGCCCAGGTCTAGTGGCCCAGCAAGGCTTCTGCTCAGCAGGCTCCATGAGGGTGCCCTGAAGCCTTTCAAATATAGCACTTTTATACCTGATACTTGTTTCTTTTTTTCTTTTTCTTTTTTTATTGTTTTTTGAGACAGAGTCTCGCTGCATCACCCAGGCTGGAATGCAGTGTGGTGCAATCTCGGCTCACTGCAACCTCCGCCTCCCGGGTTCAAGCAGTTCTCCCTGCCTCAGCCTCCTGAATAGCTGGGATTAGCAGGGAGTAGCAGGCACCCACCACCATGCCTGGCTAATTTTTGTATTTTTAATCAAGACTGGGTTTCGCCATGTTAGCCAGGCTGGTCTCAAACTCCTGACCTCAGGTGATCCACCTGCCTTGGCCTCTCGAAGTGCTGGGATTACAGGCGTGAACCACCACGCCCGGCCTTGTTCCTTCTTTTTTGTTGTATTTGGGGTTTTGGTGGGTTTTCTTGAGACAAGATCTCACTCTGTTGCCCAGGCTGGAGTGCAGCAGTACAATCACTGCTCACAGCAGTCTTGACTTCCTAGGCTCAAGCGATCTTCCTGCTTCAGCATCCCAAGTTGCTGGGACCACAGGCGCACACCACCATACCTGGCTAATTTCTTTTTTGTAGAGGTGGGGGTCTCACTCTGTTGCCCAGGCTGGTCTTGAACTCCTGGCCTCAAGCCATCCTCCCGTCTCAGTTTCCCAAAGTGCTGGGATCACAGGTGGTAGCCACTGAGCCTGGTCCTTGCTCCTCTTTTTGAGGGTTTTCATGCTCAGCAGCCTGGGAGCATCCACCCACCTCAGCCTTGGGACTCTCGTCTGTGCCCTGATCCTCAAAGTCCATTCAGTGAGTCATTTCTAAGCACCTGCTTCCCAGTGTCCTTTACTGCTGTCCCTAAACATCAGCATTCCTCAAGGCTCTGTCCTGGCCACTCTTCTCAGACACATTCCCCTTCTCATTTCTCTCCTCCAGTCCCCTGGCAGCAGCTACTGTCTCTATGCTGAGAGCCCTCAACTCTCTCTCTCTCTCTCTCTCTCTCTGTTCAGACCAGATCTCTCCCTTAAGCTTCAGCAAGTCCACCTGGATCTCTCACAGGCCACCTGAATGCTAGATGAGCAAAACCAGGTTCATCATCTTGCTCCAGGCCTGTGCTTCCACCTCAGTGCTTCTCCATCGCAGTCAGTGGTACCTCATACTCTGGGTTACCCAGGTTAGACACCCAGTAGTGACTCAGGACTCTCTCCTCCTTCTCATTCACCCCCAACACTCACAGGTCTCAATAGACTTCTAGTATTCAAAAACTATTTTCAGCAAAGGAGTCCCTCATGTCATTGAGGAGTGAGTGAAGTTCTGACACATGTAGAAGCTGAAAGAGGTTTCACTTTAGTGAATATAATTTGCACCGAAGTGAGAAACAGTTTAACGGTAGCTTGCATATCAGATTTAAATATAATAAATTGGCCGGGTGCAGTGGCTCACGCCTGTAATCCCAGCACTTTGGGAGGCTAAGGCAGGTGGATCACCTGAGGTCAGGAGATCGAGACCAGCCTGATCAACATGGAGAAACCCTGTCTCTCCTAAAAATACAAAACTTAGCCGGGTGTAGTGGTACATGCCTGTAATCCCAGCTACTTGGGAGGCTGAGACAGGAGAATCGCTTGAACCTGGGAGATGGAGGTTGCAGTGATCTGAGATCACGCCACTGCACTCCAGCCTGGCAACAAGAATGAAACTGTCTCCAAATAAATAAATAAATAAAAATAAAGATAATAAACTTATGGGGAAAAGAGCAGATTGGGATGTGACTCCATTTGTTACATCACAGCTAAGCTGCAACCACAGATTGACAATGGATACAAGAGGTCAGCAAAAATCAGCACAAGTATCCTATGGGGATCAATTGGCTATATGGAATTCACAATCAAGAGTTCTGTACATATTTTATTATCACTGTAAATGCTGTGCTACACATTTTTTTATATGATTGGAATTATAATAACTCATACATTTATTGTTCTGGAAAGCTGGCTGTTAAACATCTACCAGCACACCACCACACCTAGCAATGTGCTCCATGGTCAGGCATTTTTGTAAAATTAGAAATGATATGATCTTTCTGTGTCCTTTTTCTTTAAAAGGGCTCTACATATGGTACGTATAAGATTCAGCCACACAAAACCTGGGCCGGGCCCCAGAGAAAGCTCTTTGTCAACTGAAACACTAGGTGACATGGGGACAATGGAGATGGTTGGTGATGGAGATAGACCTGAGCTGAGAGAGGAAGAGGAGGAGTCCGGGGGAGGACGAGGAGACTCGAGCCTGGGGCCCCTAGGAGACGGGCGGTTCTGTTTACAAAGGGAGTAACCAGGGCTTTTGCTGGGAGGACTGCCTGAAGAACCGGAAGCCCGGTGGGACAGGTGCGGGGCAGGCTCCAGGTCCCTCCCAGACACGCACTCACCTTCTCGTAGTATCGGATCTCGTACTCCGTGCCATTGGCCCCAGGGGCTCCGGCAGGGATGGGCTCCCGCCATGACAGGGACACGCTCTGAGGTTCCACTCGGTCCCTGCGGATCTCATCCTCCTCCCAGGGCGCTGAAAGTAAGTAATGTGGGATTCTCCACCTTGCCCACCTGCACGGCAGGGCTGGGGGTTGGGGGAAGAGGGTGAGGCGTGCGTGGCTGTGGGACGGAACTAGAGAGGCCTGGGGCGTGGTCTAAGGGGTTGTGGGCGGGGCTAGGGAACAGTCTGAGAGGCGTGGCCAAGGGGGAGGAGTCTGTGGGACCAGAGGAAAGAGGCCTCTCTGCCCGCACAGCCCTTTTGTTCATTGTCCCGTAGAGGAAAAGCATTAGGCCTTCTGCTGCTTGCCCACCCCTTACACCCCAGCTTCTCTCATGGTGGTTGGCTCTAATGCTCCAGGCTCTTTCTATACTTGCTGCAGCTTGGAGACATAAGAGAGCATTTAGAGGCAGAAAGACCTGCTACTTAATAATTCCAATGGTCTGACCAAGAGGTAATACACTCGGCCGGGCGCGGTGGCTCACGCCTGTAATCCCAGCACTTTGGGAGGCCAAGGCGGGTGGATCACGAGGTCAGGAGATCGAGACCATCCTGGCCAACACGGTGAAACCCCGTCTCTACTAAAAATACAAAAAATTAGGCGGGTGTCATGGCGGGCGCCTGTAGTCCCAGCTGCTGGGGAGGCTGAGGCAGGAGAATGGCATGAACCCGGGAGGTGGAGGTTGCAGTGAGCCGAGATTGTGCCACTGCACTCCAGCCTGGGTGACAGAGGGAGACTCCGTCTCAAAAAAAAAAAAAAAAAAAAAAGAGGTAATACACTCAACAAACTAGAAATAGAAGGAAATTATCCCAAAAGAATAAAGGACATATATGAAAAGCCTACAGTGAGTATCATACCCAATGGTGAAACACTGGAAGCTGCCTTCCTTCCAACATCAGGAAAAGGGTAGGATGTCTGCTGTCATTACTTTTATTCATCATAATACCAGAAGTTCTAGCCAGAGTAGTTAGGCAAGAAAAAGAAATAAAAGGCATCCAAACTGGAAAAGCAGCAGGAAATTTATCTCTGTTTACAGATGACATGATCTTATATATAGAAAACCCTAAAGATTCTACACATGAAATTGTTAGGCCAGGCGTGGTGACTTGTGCCTATAATCCCAGCACTTTGGGAGGCTGAGGCAGGCGGATCACGAGGTCAAGAGATCCAGACCGGCCAGGCGGATGGATCACTTGAGGTCAGGCCGAGGTGGGTAGATCACTTGAGGCCAGGAGTTTGAGACCAGCCTGATCAAATGGCGAAACCCTATCTCTGCTTAAAAAATACAAAATTAGGCAGGCATAGTGGTGCACACCTGTAATCCCAGCTACTTGGGAGGCTGAGGCCAGAGAATCGCTTGAACCCAGGAGGTGGAGGTTTCAGTGAGCCAAGATTGCGCCATTGCACTCCAGCCTGGGCAACAAAAGCAAAACTCTGTCTCAGGGGAAAAAAAAAAAAAAAAAGAGAGCGATCGAGATCATCCCAGCCAACATGGTGAAACCCCGTCTCTACTAAAGATACAAAAATGGGCTGGGTGTTGTGGTGCATGCCTGTAGTCCCAGCTATTCGGGAGGCTGAGGCAGGGGAATCACTTGAACCTGGGAGGCAGAGGTTGCAGTGAGCCGAGATCGTGCCACTGCATTCCAACCTGGGCAACAGAGCAAGACTTCATCTCAAAAGAATAAAATAAAATTTAGAACTAATAAACAAAATACAGCAATGTTGCAGAATACAATACCAATGCACAAAAATTTGTTGTGTTTCTATACACAAGGAACAATTCAAAAAGGAAATTAGGAAAACAATCCCACTTACAATAGCATCAAAAATAATAAAATACTTAGACATAAACTTAATCAAAGGGATGAAAGACTTTTATACAGAAAACTGTAAAATATTGCTGAAAGAAATTAAATAAAACACAAATAATTGGAAAGGTATCCTGTGTTCATGGAATAGAACACTTAATATTGTTAAAATGTCTCTACTACCAAAAGTGATCTACAGATTCAATGCAATCCTATCAAAATCCCAGGCATTTTTTTGCAGAAATACAAAAAACATCCTAAAATTCATATGGAATCTGAAAGGACCGTAAATAGTCAACACAATCATGGGAAGGAAAAATAAAACTGGGCCAGAGGCAGTGGCTCACATCTGTAATCCCAGCACTTTGAGAGGCCAAGGTAAGAGAATCACTTGAGGCCAGCAGTTCGAGACCAGCCTGGGCAACACAGTGAGACTCTATCATTTACAAAAAACAACCAACAACAAAACCTACACACACACACGCAAAGGTAGAGTCCTCACATTTCGTGACCTCAAAACATATTTCAAAGCTACAGTAATCAAAACAATATGGTACAGACATGTAGACCAATGAAACAGAATACAGAGCCCAGAAATAACTCCTCTCCATGTATGGTCAAATGATCTCCCACAAGAGTACCAAGGTTATGCTATACAGAAAGGATAGTCTCTTCACCAAATGACACTGAGAAAAGTGAATATCCACCTGCAAAAGAATGAAGTTGGATGCTCACCTAACATCATATAAAAAAAATGAACTCAAAGTGGATTAAAGACCTAAATGTAGGATCTGAAATGATAAAACTCCTAGAAGAAAACACAGGAGAAAGCTTCATGACACTGGATTCGGCAATGATTTCTTGGATATGACACCAAAAGCACAGGCAGCAAAAACAAAAATAGACAAATGAAACTACATCAAACCTTTGCAGGGCAAAGGCAACAATAATCAGAGTGAAGAGGCAATCTTTGAAATGGGAGAAAATGCTTGCTAACCATTTATCTAAGGGGTTAATATCCAGAATGTATAAAGAACATCTAGAACTCAACAACAAAGACCAAATAACTCAATTAAAAAATAGAGACAGCGGGAGTGGAGAAGGAACAAAGAAATCTATGACTGATTGTGATCATTTAGTTGTAAACAACACTGCACTCAGACCAGCTTGAGTAGACATTTCTTCAAAAAGGATATACAGGCCGGGCAGGCGTGGTGGCTCTTGCCTGTAATCCCAGCACCTGGGGAGGCCAAGGGGGCAGATCACCTGAAGTCAAGAGTTTGAGACCAGCCTGGCCAACGTAGTGAAGCCCTGTCTGTACTGAAAATACAAAAGTTAGCTGGGCGTGGTGGTGTGCACCTGTAATCCCAGTTACTTGGGAGGCTGAGGCACAAGAATTGTTTGAACTTGGGAAGCGGAGTTTGCAGTGAGCCGAGATTGCACCACTGCACTCCAGCCTGGGCAACAGCGTGAGACTCTGCCTCAAAAAAAAAAAAAAAAAAAACATTTTCAGGACAAAAATGAATTCTATTCTCTTGTAATTAGTTATGACCATTAATAAACCATACCACATTATTTTCTTTTTCAGAAAAAGGAA